GTGGGTGAGTGAGTGAGTGAGTGAGTGAGTGAGTGAGTGAGTGAGTGAGTGAGTGAGTGAGTTGTGTTTAACGTAGCTCTGTTTTCCAGTTATGTCACGGCGTGTCAGCTTAATGTTTGAGGAAAGCCCGAAGTGATGCAGGTCTCAGATGTTTACAACTTTGGTGAAACCCACGAGCACAGGTATGGTGCTGACAAACCTAGAGACATAATCGGGGTGAACCTACAGTCATAGGTTTCTGGCGAGCCCAAGGGATGCAACTCTGCACAGCAAATCGCACCGCCTTAGACGACTGGGCCACCTGTGCCCCATATGACAAATAGAACAATCAGGTTCATGTGTGAACACATCAAAGTACTCACTAACAGGGACAAGGCTAGGTTTATGCCATTTAAGTGCACATTTCAGAATTATTATTCCTTTTCAAACTTCTGCAAATGTACTATAGAGAATGAAAACAGCTGTTTCACTTTAACCTTTCTAAAAGAAAAGAAACATTGCAAATCAGAACTTTAATTTGAAACGCTGAACTTGTTTAAATTTGCAATTAAAATATACAAACTGTTTGATTGGCATTCTAGAAGTTGGCAAATAAGTACATCTTTATGGATAACAACTTCTGGTTTATTGCATATAGCGACGTTTCTATGTAGATTCTTACATCAATCTGGAGTGACGACAACCAAGTGATGAGAGGTATACAGGCATGAAATGTTGTGATAAGCAGCAGATAAACACAGACAACATGCATCAAGCAAGTCAGCGAGCCTGACCACCCGATCCCGTCAGTCACCTCTAACGACAATCATAACAAGAACTACAAAATCTCCTTTGGCTAATTACAGAAAATAATTGATATTCCAAAAGAAACGTCACAGTCTTTGCAAAGATGAAGGTTTGAGAAGAAAGTACCTGCATTATTGTTTAACAAACCTTAAAAAAACTGAAAGAATTAATAAAGGTAATACTTCATGGCACCAATACAGCAGTTTACCGGGCACAGCACTAAATGACACAGGCTGCAGACTATGGCTCTCATCTGATCGCACTGCCTCTCCGACTCTTAAAGTTAGTTGTGATGGGGCTATAGTAGGTTATCCCCAATTCTATCCTTAGCCCTTGGTTCCACATTCCGATAAAACGTCCCTTTACAATCCTTAGCCTAAGTTGTAATTAGGGTTAGGGGTGGCTATCTCACATCATTCAACGAATTAATCCAAAGTAATTTGAGGGAAATACATACAATGTTTATGAAGTTTCGAGTTTTGTGGAGAAGAAAGGCTACAGCACCAAGGTAAACAAACAAGCGCTGATCACCTGGTAAACAAGCATCAATTATCAATGATAGCGCCTGAAATCCTGAGGTAAAGTGTTGGCTAATTAGAGTAACTCATTAGCCAAACTCCAAGCTTCAACCTGGCAATGTGAGTTTCATTCTCCCAACAGAGCTAATTGAAATCCGAATAAGTGCACCTGGTAAAGAGCATTACTCCCTATCTAGCCAATTTACAAAATAAAGATCTTCAAATTGTTCATTTCATACAGCAAGACCAATTATTTACATGCATATAAATTCTTATTTTGAAGTTTTAGTGATTTCTGGTGATGTGATTGGTTAACTTGAGGCTCACATGATCTGTTCATTTTGAAACACACTAAGAAAAGAGACGTTTACAAAGTATAAACTTCACCTTTTGACATTAACATGATTTTGGACTGAAACTGGAACGCAAGTCACAAGCTCCAGCATTTACATGATTTGAACTTGCACAGTTCAAAGCGTTCATTCTCCACTAAACCAACACAGTATGAAAACCATTTCTTAAGTATATGACCACAATGGGGTGGTATGATTTTGATCTGGAGCATGACGAACTGCTCCTATGGGTTGCAAGGGCATGGTGTGCAGAGTTGCGTCCCTTGGGCACACCAGAAACCTGTGATTGTGGGTTCGACTCCCTGTTGGCCCTGATTTTGTTTCTAGGTTTGTAAGCACCATACGTGTGCTTGTGGGTTTCACCAAAGTTGTAAACGTCAGAGACCTGCATCACTTTGGGCTTTCCTCCCACATTAACCTGACACGCCGTGATATAACTGGAATACTGTTCAAAGCAGCATTAAACCCAACTCACTCACTCACTCACTCCAAGGGTATGCCATGCTACCATCAAACATCAAGTTTACATGTGACTTTCTGTTGCATTTGCTTCAACACTATTCAATAATTTATAATTTTCATAAAAATAATTCATGCCAAAGTTATCTATTATCAACTAGACCACTGACCCGGTAGCACATGAACATCTTATGTTAATATGCATAATAGGTATCACTGACAAAGTGGTTAGCAATGGTTATAGAAGAAGTATAGATCAGTTTTACAGACGAAACAGTTTTATCACTGGTGAAAGAAATGATACATGACATTCTCAATTAAACCCATTTAAGCATATACTGTGACCAGGGAACCTATCTGCCCAGTGCTTGGGATTTATTCCTTGGATCTTTTTCGGTGCTAATTATCTAGCTGGGTTCCGTTCGTCCATTGTCATTTCCCTGCTATTACCTATCAGTGTTAATTACCCCCGGCCTCCAGTTTGCTCATTGTATTAGCAATCGGTGCTAAGTTAAGTGTAGGCTTCCCTTTGTCCATTGCTAATCACCTATCAGCACAAATCATCTGTTGGCTCCCCTTGTCAATTTTCCACCTTTGTTATCTAAATACTTTTGTTGTCCTTACAGGAACATATATATGATCTCTGCCTCATAGCATTTACTCACCTGATGAAGAAGTAAGTATATACTCCGAAACGTTGTGTGCATCATGATAAAGACGTTGACATCCATAAATTCTCTTTCTTATGTCTATCACTTCTAAATGGCTTAAATGGATCTTAATTTTGTGCACCCATCCAAGATGTGATATTCAACTCTCATCAACAGTTGGTAGTTGTGAACAGTCTGCCAAGTATGTGTGACTTTATTGCTCAGCGTCACACTAAATAATATTCCAGGGGGTTACTTCCATATCGCCTACGCTTAAATACGCCTACAGGTTTTATGTAGGCCATTTATCAGACCATAACATGTGACTATCAGACCATAACATGTGACTATCAGACCATAACTGGTGACTATCAGACCACAACTTGTGACTATCAGACCATAACTTGTGACTATCAGACCACAACTTGTGACTATCAGACCACAACTTGTGACTATCAGACCATAACTTGTGACTATCAGACCATAACATGTGACTATCAGACCATAACATGTGACTATCAGACCATAACATGTGACTATCAGACCATAACTTGTGACTATCAGACCATAACATGTGACTATCAGACCATAACTTGTGACTATCAGACCATAACATGTGACTATCAGACCATAACTTGTGACTATCAGACCATAACGTGTGACTATCAGACCATAACTTGTGACTATCAGACCATAACGTGTGACTATCAGACCATAACTTGTGACTATCAGACCATAACGTGTGACTATCAGACCATAACTTGTGACTATCAGACCATAACATGTGACTATCAGACCATAACATGTGACTATCAGACCATAACTTGTGACTATCAGACCATAACTTGTGACTATCAGACCATAACATGTGACTATCAGACCATAACATGTGACTATCAGACCATAACTTGTGACTATCAGACCATAACATCTGACTATCAGACCATAACATGTGACTATCAGACCATAACTTGTGACTATCAGACCATAACTTGTGACTATCAGACCATAACGTGTGACTATCAGACCATAACTTGTGACTATCAGACCATAACTTGTGACTATCAGACCATAACGTGACTATCAGACCATAACTTGTGACTATCAGACCATAACATGTGACTATCAGACCATAACATGTGACTATCAGACCATAACATGTGACTATCAGACCATAACGTGTGACTATCAGACCATAACGTGTGACTATCAGACCATAACTTGTGACTATCGGACCATAACATCTGACTATCAGACCATAACATCTGACTATCAGACCATAACTTGTGACTATCAGACCATAACTTGTGACTATCAGACCATGACTTGTGACTATCAGACCACAACTTGTGACTATCAGACCATAACATGTGACTATCAGACCATAACTTGTTGTTATAAGACTGTAGGCAAAGTGGAGTGTAGGCGATATGGTACCAATCCCTTCCAAGTGGCCTGAATATAATCAAGTCTGGACCACACAATCCAGTGACTGATATTATGAAGAATTATCCATGCTGTTGACGAGCAATCAGTCAAGTCACTGAGCCTGATGACCCGATCCATTAAATAGCTCCTTATGACGAGCATCGGTTGCTGGGGACGAATTGTAACACGGCTTCCCCATGGGGGTGTGCTAGGCGGCACAGTGCTACATGAATCACACATAAAGAGGGCTACTGAGTGCAAGGTACGAGTCTTCCAGCATTAGTGAGTGACATGGGTTTAACGCCGCTTTTAACAGTATTCCAGTTATATCACGTTGGTCAGCTTAATGTGGGAGGTAAGCCCGAGGTGATGCAGGTCTCAGAAGTTAACCACTTCAGTGAAACCCACGAGCACGGGTATGTTCGCATAATCGGGGCGAACTTGGATTCGAACCAACAATCATAGGCTTCTGGCGTGCCCAAGGGAAACAACTCAGCACAGCCAATCGCGGCACCTTTGACGACTGGGCCACCCGTGCCTACCCTCTTCCAGCATTAGAAATTGGCACTAGTCCTAGAGTCCTTGCCAACCTGTCCAATAGTTAAGGTATCCTAAGGACTATTAGAACTTTGCCATTTTAAGGGTTTTGCTATATGGTATCATTATAAGGACTAGTGGGCTAAAACTGTTAGTTTCTCTCGCTGTCTTCCCATGTGGAATCAGTCTTACCCAGGAAAGACAACCGGGAGATGTCCCTAAGAGTCAACTCAAACAAGCTAGCATAACACATGGATAGCAAGTCTTACCTGATGACAGGTTAAATGTTCTTCCTTTTGCTATTTCTTTAGGAGGGGAGAACCAGTTGACGAGTGAAGACACCAGTGGGACTTGTCTCAACACACCCTGAAGCAGTCACAAGTAATGACAGTCAACGCTTCCATTTGTTTGTTTGTTTGTTGTTTAACGCCACACTCAGCAATATTCAAGCTATATGACGGCGGTCCGTAAATATTTGGGTCTGGACCAGACAATCCAGTGATTGATATCATGAGCATCGATCCACGCAATTGTGAGACGATGACATGCATCAACTAAGTCAGCGAGCTAAAATAAGATGACAGATAAAAAAATATTCAGACATTTCTGAACGTTGGGTTTAAGTGTAGCACTCATATTTCCATTTCCATGTAATACCTATCAATTAGTTTTTTCAAAACAGAAAATTTGTAAACCAATAGCAATTCAAGTTGACTGAAACATTATATTACGGAAAATACCATGTGGTACTTCACATGAAAAATTAAGATAAAACAGTCAAAATATTATTTTGTATTGAATTTCTCTGCACTGGATTTCTCTGCACCATATATCTATCTCTATGTCCTTCCTTCTTGCTGGAGTTTTACAGGCAAGTACTCTGCAGTATCAATAAATATTTGACATAGGCATGGATAGACCAGTTTATGAGTGGGTTTGTTGTAAAACACAGAACTCAGCAATATTTCAGCTATATAACTGTGGTCTGCAAAATAATTGAGTCTTGACCAGAAAATCTAGTGATTAATATTATGAGCAACGATCAGTGCCATCAGGGTTACAGAGACTGACAGACCCATACATCAAGTTGCCTAATACGACTAGCATAGGTTGCTGGGGATCAAGTCTAACCCGAGGTCCCCACAAGGCAGACCTGTTTATGGTAGGATTACAAGTTTCAGATCTTTTTATGATATCCATTTGTCTAGTACAAAGCCTCTACTGCATGGAGTCCCATGTTCTGCTGTACCAACCTCTTGTATGAGCTTCTCCTCCGTCTCCTTCTGCAGCTCCTTGTTGGCCTCCTCAATACCCTTCATGATCATCTCCGACATGGACTCCAGGAACTGGTGACAGAGAACCAGGTGAGAACATGGACAGAGAACATGAACAAAGAACATGAACAGAGAGGATGGACAGAGAAGATGGACAAAGAACATGAACAGAGAACACAGAGAACACAGACAGAGAAGATGGACAGGGAAGATGCACAGAGAACATTGAGAACAAGGACAGAAAACATGTACAGAGAACATGAACAAAGAACATGGACAGAGAACATAGAGAATAGGACAGAAAACATGGACAGAGAACATAGACAGAGAACCAGGTGAGAACATGGACAGAGAACATGGCCACAGAACATGAGCAAAGAACATGAACAGTGAACATGATCAGAGAACATGGACAGAGAACATTGACACAGAACATGAACAGTGAACATGGACAGAGAACATGGACAGAGAACATGGACAGAGAACATGGACAAAGAAACGACAGTGAAGATGGACAGAGAACATTGACACAGAACATGAACAGTGAACATGGACAGAGAACATGAACAAAGAACATGGACAAAGAACATGAGCAAAGAAACGACAGTGAACATGGACAGAGAACATGGACAAAGAACATGAACAGAGTACATGGACAGAGAACATGGACAAAGAACATGAACAGAGTACATGGACAGAAAACATGGACAGAGAACACAAACAGAGAACATGGACAGAGAACATGGACAGAGTACATGGACAAAGAACATGAACAGAATACATGGACAGAGAACACAAACAGAGAACACAGACAGAGAAGATGGACAGAAAAGATGGACAGAGAACATAGTGAACAAGGACAGAAAACAAGTACAGAGAACATGAGCAAAGAACATGAACAGAGAACATGAATAAAGAACATGGACAGAGAACACAGAGAACATTGACAGAGAACATGAACAGAGAACATGGACAGAGAACATAGCCAGGGAACAAAAAAACCCAAACATATTAAGTCACATGGGCTTGTAAATACACATTAGTTACTGATTCTAAATATAAATTTTACCTTTAATATGTCCCACAGTTACTATTAATAATGAATAAATACATAGAAATAATATCTTAAATAAAATAAATTTAAAAATTAAAAAAAATATATCATGCAATGGCATATTTCCTTATACCTTTTCAATGGCATCACATTTTTTCATGTACTATGTGAGAGTCTGTTTAATAAAATTATTTCTAACATTACACACTTGAAATTTTCAAATATATACAAATATGATATACGGATGGTGAAACATAAGGGATCATTACAAATAAAGCAAAATTACCATGTTTGTTTCTGTGTAAATTATGTTATTGATTTCATTTATCAGGGGTAACTTATGCACTGACTTCATGCTGGCTCATTACAAATATGCTACTTTAGCAAATAATCCTCAAATAAGGCTTAAAAAAATATAAGAATTGGTTCTCAGGCAATGGCTTTTGAGAATATAGTGGGGGCGGGCAGGGTTGTTTTTGGTGTTTTTTTTAGTTGTTCAACCTAGGACGTAACCAAATTTTGTTTACAAATAATATCTGCGAAATTATGTTGTTCTTAATTATTGTAGCATTTCACTGCCGGGGTCATGTGTTCGAGTCGGGAATATTTAAAGATTTTTTTTCTCTTAAAATGGAAAGAAAAACGAAACTTGCGGCAGACTTTATGATAATGCAGGCGGTGCCGAATGTCCCGTTGAGAGGATACAATTGTTTCTAGTGTAGAGAATACTTCAGCTTAACGTGTGTACTGATGATGTTACTGCAAGTACACAATTACACTTCTCTATCCACCAAAAACAGCATAGCTCTCTCAAAGCACATGGTGTTACAACCTCAAAAATAAGAAAGAGTTGTCTACCTTAGATGACTCTTCCACCTCCTTGCCTGTGGTGAAGACGAGGGAGACCAGCTCCTCGATGTCAGTGCTTTCTGTGATGAGCCCAAACCTCACACACACTGAGTCGTCATCTGTGTGGCCTGTGACGGACAAGTCATCGTTACAACAACAAACTTTCCTGACACAGCAGGGAGTTACCTAGTCCTGATCAGAGGCCAATATTAGACCCACGTCTGCAGCAAATGTCAGTAAAAACTCCCAAAGTGATGTTAAAAATTGGCAAATTCATGTTAATATATATTACTAATAACTTAGTTTAAAATATTGAATTGAATGCAATGTAAAAATACCTCTGAATTTACAAAAATGCCAAAATGCCAAAATGCCAAAATGCCAATATTTCAATTTTGAACAAAATAACACTTGTGTTTTTGCTTGCCAGGGGCACTTAATCTACAATCCAGAATAAGGGCTGAAATTTATTTTATACTTGAAATGTATTTTCTCCTTTCAACTACACTATTTATATCTCCGCAAGGAGACAAAATCAGCACTAACACAGAGTTCTGTCATGGAAGATACATGCTTTGATAAGCAGAGCTTTACATATACTGATATAGGAGTCGACATTTACCTGTAGAGAATGCCGTGTCCATAGCCTTGAGTTTATGGACCAGTTCACTGTTGAGATTGTTGACCTCATTCTTTCCATTGTCGGGCAGGTCAGCCATCTTGTTGAGCCACATCTCCGGGATGTACCTGAAAACAAGTAACTTTCAAGGTCACTTTCACAAATCAGTTACAAAACACAGTTAAGGCTTAGGTTCCAAAATTCCTAATAAGGCTGTGTGGAATTGATAGTCTTCTACTAAAATGGCTGTGTGGAATTAACAGTCTTCTCCTAATAAGGCATGTGGAATTGATACTCTTCTCCTAATAAGGCTGTGTGGAATTGACAGTCTTCTCCTAATAAGGCTGTGTGGAACTGACAGTCTTCTCCTAATAAGGCTGTGTGGAATTGACAGTCTTCTCCTAATAAGGCTGTGTGGAATTGATAGTCTTCTACTAAAATGGCTGTGTGGAATTAACAGTCTTCTCTTAATAAGGCATGTGGAATTGATACTCTTCTCCTAATAAGGCTGTGTGGAATTGACAGTCTTCTCCTAATAAGGCTGTGTGGAACTGACAGTCTTCTCCTAATAAGGCTGTGTGGAACTGACAGTCTTCTCCTAACAAGGCTGTGTGGAATTGACAGTCTTCTCCTAATAAGGCTGTGTGGAACTGACAGTCTTCTCCTAATAAGGCTGTGTGGAATTGACAGTCTTCTCCTAATAAGGCTGTGTGGAATTGACAGTCTTCTCCTAATAAGGCTGTGTGGAACTGACAGTCTTCTCCTAATAAGGCTGTGTGGAATTGACAGTCTTCTCCTAATAAGGCTGTGTGGAATTGACAGTCTTCTCCTAATAAGGCTGTGTGGAACTGACAGTCTTCTGCTAATAAGGCTGTGTGGAATTGACAGTCTTCTCCTAATAAGGCTGTGTGGAACTGACAGTCTTCTCCTAATAAGGCTGTGTGGAATTGATAGTCTTCTCCTAATAAGGCTGTGTGGAATTGATAGTCTTCTCCTAATAAGGCTCAATAATACTCAATGAGGACTACTATCAATGGACTTTTATTTCTCCTTAGCATAATTTAATAGTCTTGGGCCAGCAGACTAGATTGAATTTGAAAGCTAGATGATGATATTCGACCATGCAGTCCAATGAGGGTTCAACCCTCGGCAGCAGACATACCTGACAGCCCCGAGACCGGCCCAGTTATCTATGTCCACCAGAGCCAGATTGCTGTGAGACGACACTATAGATCGGAACCTCTTCCGCTGAAGACAAGTGGCATCTAACACGGACTGAAACAGGGAGTACACAGGGATGAGGATTTGGGAAAAAAGGTAGGTTTTTAAGACCAAACATAGTTATGGCAGTCTCAAAAGATTTAAGTTTCAAGGAATATGATTTAATGACACAGAATCCCATGGTAGTAAACACACAATAAACTTACCAGATTTTCCCTCATACAAATTACAAACTTCTTCACATCCTCCTCTGATGTGCCTCGCCCTGGAAGACAAATCAATTCACATACAAATAAGTAAACTTATTACATCAATACAAATAAATTACATATTACTTAAGTTAGGTTGGGTTTAACGTCGCATCCAAGATTATTGCACTTATATAGCGACGTGCATGTACGTGTATTTGTTTGTGTGGCTGCTTGTACTAGTCCGGACTGATGCCGATTTATAGTGCTAGCTCACTGAGATACCATGCCGCAGTTTAACATGAATTCCCCACTCAGACACAGTATACTGACTCCGAGCCGACCAGTCCTTGTTTTAGCCCCTTAATGCCGAGCGCCAGACAGAGTAACAACAAGTACCATCTTTTAACTTTTTTTGGTATGACGCGGCCGGGGATCGAACCCCGGACCTTCCGCTCTCCGGGCTGACGCTCTACCACTAGACCACGGAGACGGTCTCGTATTACTTAAAGGCTTCTCAAAATAATATAACAATATTTTAATCTGTTATCAATTAAAACACACATCTTCTGTTTTGAAGCATAATCATCAATATTTCAGACATTTCCTCGGGGATGTGGGGTAACCCAGGTGTTCAAGCACTGAAGCCAGGTCGGAGTCCCCACAAAGGCACATGTCAGGTGTCCCCTGTCATGATATGCCCTGAGTACTGCCAAAATCAGCATGAAATATGTCTGTACAAAGTCACTCATTCATTCCACTTATATAGGGAACATAATTGCCTATTTTACATCATAAAGCCATTGGCCAGGCTACTGACAGTAGGAAGCCCACCTTGTGCTGTCTCTAGAGGAGCGTATCGTATACACACGCCCTCTCTGTCCACCTCCACGGCCTGCACTGGAACATTCGGGCAGTTGGTCTGCAGGGTCTCAGCAAGCTGGGGAAATACAGTAAACAATCCCATTCAAAATGCATTCACAAGCCCTATAAACCAGCAGGGGTGTAATATTGGTCTGGTTATTACACCCCCTATGATATGGACATCTGTGTGTTGGCTCTATTGCACATGGAAATTTCCTTAAATCATTCATCAAACAAATTATTAACGATCCCTTAGGTGGTCTGCCTGGACCAAAGCTGCAGGCCGAGGTCCGGTCAGACTGCTGAAGGGGCCGGGTCCAAGGGTCCTTTTTTTCCGCATATTGACCTCATCAAGAGTAATCATTTGTATGGTTATACAGAAATTCACTTTATGAAGCTTTTATACCATCCTCTGTTTGATTTCAGTAACTTAGCTGCAAACCGTAATATTTTAGTACCAGACACCATCTTGTTTTGTAGCAGACGAGTAAATATTCATCACGTGACAGATCAATACTGATCATGGGATGAGTCTGTGTCACTGTCAGTCACATGATTTGAGGGTCTATGACCTAAGAATAAAGGTAAAATACAATAAACTAAGCTCAAAACAACATATTATATATCCTTCAAGACACACACTGCAAGTCCCTTGCTAAAGGCTCAGAGCTTACAGAAGTCGTCACCCTCGACTGACATTCCATCACTGGTTGGTTACTGCTGCTGGTGACCTACCCATGTGTTGAGAGCATCGTAGTACACTGCCTCCTGATCCTCTTCCTGCTTCTCCTCTCCACTCACAGCGTAGGGGGCCACAACCACTCCTGGAGACACACAGACATGTATATCAATCTCACACAAGAGTAGGTCACCACAACACACATGTATATCAATCTCACACAAGTGTAGGGGCCACAACCACTCCTGGAGACACACAGACATGTATATCAATCTCACACAAGTGTAGGGGCCACAACCACTCCTGGAGACACACACACATGTATATCAATCTCACACAAGAGTAGGGGGCCACAACACACATCTATATCAATCTCACACAAGATAAGGGGCCACAACCACTCCTGGAGACACACAGACATGTATATCAATCTCACACAAGTGTAGGGGGCAACAACCACTCCTGGAGACACACAGACATCTATATCAATCTCACACAAGAGTAGGGGCCACAACCACTCCTGGAGACACACATACATGTACATGTATATCAATCTCACACAAGTGTAGGGGGCCACAACCACTCCTGGAGACACACATACATGTATATCAATCTCACACAAGTGTAGGGGGCCACAACCACTCCTGGAGACACACAGACATGTATATCAATCTCACACAAGTGTAGGGGGCCACAACCACTCCTGGAGACACACACACATGTATATCAATCTCACACAAGTGTAGGGGGCCACAACCACTCCTGGAGACACACACACATGTATATCAATCTCACACAAGAGTTGGGGCCACAACACACATGGATATCAATCTCACACAAGACTAGGGGCCACAACACACATGGATATCAATCTCACACAAGACTAGGGGCCACAACACACATGGATATCAATCTCACACAAGACTAGGGGCCACAACACACATGGATATCAATCTCACACAAGACTAGGGGCCACAACACACATGGATATCAATCTCACACAAGACTAGGGGTCACAACACACATGGATATCAATCTCACACAAGACTAGGGGTCACAACACACATGGATATCAATCTCACACAAGACTAGGGGTCACAACACACATGGATATCAATCTCACACAAGACTAAGGGCCACAACACACATGGATATCAATCTCACACAAGACTAGGGGCCACAACACACATGGATATCAATCTCCCACAAGACTAGGGGCCACAACACACATGGATATCAATCTCACACAAGACTAGGGGCCACAACACACATGGATATCAATCTCCCACAAGACTAGGGGCCACAACACACATGGATATCAATCTCACACAAGACTAGGAGCCACAACACACATGGATATCAATCTCACACAAGACTAGGGGCCACAACACACATGGATATCAATCTCACACAAGACTAGGGGTCACAACACACATGGATATCAATCTCACACAAGACTAGGGGTCACAACACACATGGATATCAATCTCACACAAGACTAGGAGCCACAACACACATGGATATCAATCTCACACAAGACTAGGGGCCACAACACACATGGATA